GGGGGGGGGAGGGTTGGCTCCCACCCCGTCACAGGCGGGGCCTGAGGTGAATGGTGAACGGTGAGCATCCCGCCCGCCCTTTGCTCCGCGAGGCCATTCATTGCCGACAAAAGGCCGGGGTCCACTGCAGGGAGCTGGTCCCGGCCCCATGCCCGGCCCCAGGCCCGGGGGCCGCCCGGGAGGTAGGCAACCCCCGGCCGCGGCCGACAGCACCGCTCGCCGGGCGTGCCTACCTCACAGGCTCGCTCGCTCGCTCGCTCGCTCGCTGACCTCATCCACAGTTGAGAATGAATCCGTAAGGAAATTTTCTTCTTGCTCCTTCTTATTCCAGTAATTTACGCGTCCTGGTAGCTATCGGCTGGTGGCATGAACCATTCAAATATCCATTCTATATTTTATGGGCACGAAATAAAATGACCCCGGTTTCTAAATTTGGTTGTACGAAGCGTAAACCGAAATGTATGATACCACCTAGGGAAGTCCCGCGTCGTTGGGGCTGCACCATCGGGTGCGCAGCAGAGCGCGCGGTGCTCGGTCTAGAACGGTGCGTGCGAGAGAGACAGACGGCGTTGGCCGAAACGAGAGAAAAGGAGTAAGTAGGTAGGTAGGGTCCCCGGGAGAAATTATTCGCCAGCCATTGGAAGGAAAATTGGAGGGAACTTTATGACTCCCCCATCCCCATACGAGTAGGAGAGAATTACCGCAATCGGGGTTAGCCAGTTATTCTTGTTACTCTGGAAACTGCCCGGCTGCTGGGGAAAGGAGGGACCTCTCTTCGTGGACGCGGCTGCAGTATTCTCTCGCAAAACCCGGTGCAACGGCGTGGCGAGGGTTGTGAAGGTCAAGAATGAAATAACCAAGCGATGGGAGGGCGGGCGGGGGTGTGGGTGTGGTCTCGGGTGTGGTGCTTCGCTCCTAGAAGCCCCCTCCTGCCCCTCCCTCCCCTCCAACCACCTGAGACGAGCGGGCGGCGGCTGCGAGAGGCAGGCGGCCGCTGGCCGAGCTGCCCGCGATATATGTCCCGATGACGGGATAATGCCGCCCCAGGAAATGGGGGAGAAAATTGATTTTATGCATGGATCGGCTGTGCTCCGCTCAGCTCGGCGCCGCCCCCCCCAAACCACCCGCGCCCGAGGCCCAGCTCGGCTCGCCTCGGCCGGGTTTGTCTCAGGATCGGCTGCTTGGGAGGTGCTGCTGCTGCTGCTCCGCGATCGCCTGCTCGTTTCGGACGTCGTGGGATATTTTATTCAGCGGCCGCCTCCGGCGGAGCTGCGGAGAGGGAGGGACGGACCATTATCGCGACGGACCCGCGCCAACACTCAAATCTAAAGAGAATTTCTCTCAACTTTCCCGCCTGTTGTTTTAAAAACCATGTTTGCTCTTCTCTGCCGGCGCAGGGCCCTCCTCGACGCAGCACTCCAAGCCGGGCCGCCCGCCCTGAGGCGTCCTCCAATGCAGCCAACACCCCCATGGTGTACTACTACATGCTAGCGTCGGGTGAGTACGCGATGGACTGTACCGGTAGGTTGGCAGAGCCTGCGATGAGACGAACCAACGCCCGCACCCCAAAAAATCTGGGTTTTTCTTTCTCCATTTAAATAATCATGTAAATAAAGTGCTATGCATTGAAAATACTTTCAGTCTTTTCGCTCGCGCAGATATGCCGTCGTTTTGGTGCATGAACTCCCCCACTTTTGACCGCTTTAGTATAAAAGACACCGTCAATAACACGATATAGTGCAACAAAGCGAGACTAAAAACAAGTTTGGAACCGACAAGCGTTAAAAGTCATGCCCCACATAGAACACAGTGTGCTTGTGCTTCCAGGACAGGGCCCGCGACGCCCGCGTCCACAGGCCCCCAGGGCTCAAAACAAGGGCCAAAAAGCCCAAAATGTGGCATTACTACATGCTAGCAGGTACGTCGTCTAGTAGACTCAAGGGTGAAAAAGACATGTCAAATCGCGCAGTCTTTTTAGAACTAGCTATCTGGATTTTTTTTTCTGAACACCAAAACTGAGATTGGTGACCTAGATTATTTTCAACACAGTAAATCAACGTCACATTATTCGCGTAATTTTTGCGTCAAACCCAAAGCAACTTAACTGCAGAGTGTAGCATTATCAACGACGTAGCGCTGGTAGAGAAGCCATCGATATTATTATACCGTGAATAGCATCACAACTGCTTCTGAACTTCCAAAATAACGCATGCCAGAAAAACTGATATAGTGTAGCGCACTTTCTGCATGCCGAAAGTGATTGTGTTCGATAGCAATGTCACGCAGAAATGCATGCTAGTAAGTTGATGCCACTCAGCTCGCTGACGTAGAGGAAGTGGCCTGCGCTCTTTTATAGGCTGATGGATCGTACAGCGCGCGGGCTCTCTGTGCTGTTCCCGCGCGGAGGGAAAAAAGCGACGACGCGACGGTCCTGTTGTTGTTGGTCGATCCGCCCCGTGCGGTTGGGTGACGAAGTGCTTTCCGCCCGGGGGAACCTCGTTGCTCCCACCCCCCGCCCCTAAACGTTCTCGAGTCGAGACGTCAGAAAAATCTGGGCAGCGCTGCTCTCGGGCGTTGGCGAGGGGCTGGCCCAATAGTCTGCTATAGGTGGAGCGGGCGAGGCCACTCCCGGAGCAGCCCCAGCAGCCCTAGCCAGCCGCGAGCCCCACCGGCCTTGACGCCACGGAACCTCTTCTTTTTTTAGTGTTTCCTCTTCTTCGCCCGGCGCGGCCCCCTGTAGCCTTTATGCGCTCCAAGCGACGCGAAACTGAATATAAGGACCGTGCCTCGCGGGGAAGGTGAAGGGGGGAGGGCGGGGGTAGACTCGCGCAAACCTGGGCGGAGAGCTAGGGCGGGGCGGGGCGATGCCGTCGGAGCGATTCCGACCTCCTTTCCCCTCACATCACACACAATTCTAGCCCGTGGCCTCGAGGTGCAGGGCGGCACCAAGGCGTCTGCTGTCGCCTTCCTCCTTTATCAGAGCTCTCTCTCTCTCCCACTTTATGCTTCTTCTTCCTTATTTTTTTATATTTGCTGTTTTGCTTTGCCCGAGACGCCATCCCTCGCAGCCTCTTCCCCGCCCGACGCCGCCCCGCCG